ACTTGCATGTTACAACAAATATGATCCTCCCATGCAGATATAAATTAATTGAATATAAATTCCATCACTTGTGTTCGCTGTTAAGTCGTTCCAACGAAAATTTTCAATCAAACTTATGAGAGAAGTTAATCGCTTCTATATATAAGCTATTATATGTATATTCTATAAACGAATTCTTCCTTGATCTGATTTCACAAAAAATGCATGAAATATATAAAACGTCTACGTGAAAACAGAGTATATAAATTGCAATAATCATACAAAAGCCATTTTATCGACAAATGACTGACTCTTCGCGCCTCACAGAAATCAGTAGCATTACCAGAATCATTTTTATAACGTCTCTACATTGTGTCGCGTACTTATAACATTGTATTGAATATCGTAAATTGACGCTAATTAAAAAAAAGAACATTTTAATTATATTTCATTCTTTTTTTTAAGTGGACTTTGCTTATCAAAGGGAGGATACAGGCTACAAGACAATCTGTCAACTACACTTAGTACAAATCATATATGCATTAATAGTACCGATCAATTAATATTATCTATATACAAACAAATAATAAGACCTAACAGGAGCAGGAGTCCTTTCCTCCCTGCTGTTCATTAGATACTCCTTGGAGGCTGGTGCGACCTGGTTGACTCGGATTATGTTGTACACCAGATTCTGCTGCGTTTAGATCCAATCTATACCGACAGAAAATATAATTAATTTACCAATTAATATTATTCGGGACATGTATTAGTTTTTAATTTATATTTTAACGTGTGATATTTTTATTCAATGTAACATATTTTTTATTCTACGTGATTATAAATTACTATCAAACTCACCGCCCGTCTTGTATACTTTGGAATATTTTCTTTGCCGTTTCCAAGAAAGCTTCCTCCACATTGTGTCCCCTGTTTGAGAAAATTTGAATACACAAATCCATTTACAATCATTTAAAAATTTGTAATCAAATATTTTAAGATACTCTAGAGATACTCACGTCTTTGCGCTAGCTTCGACAAACATTAAACCATGTTCGTCAGCAAATTGCTTTGCTTCTTCATAGGTAACATCACGTTGACCTTCGAGATCACTTTTATTACCAATTAAGAATATGACCTGCACAATAATTAGTTAATTTTTGTTATATGGTTATAAAACGTATAAAAAAATTAATTTTTTTTCTTATATCATATGTGCAGCGGATAAATTAGTTCAATTAAACACTTGTAATCACATTGTGATATGTAATATAGCAATATACATACAGTGCTCGGATTTGTTAAATTCCTTGTGTCTGTCAGCCAGCTACTCAGATGATTGTAAGTTGAACGACGTGTAATATCGTATACCATTAATGCTCCAGCTGCACCACGATAATATGATCTAGATGAAGAAATATTTTCTCTTTAGTACACATTTATAATTTTATATCTATTAGATACAATTATCGTTTGAAAAACAACCATTATTACCTAGTAACTGCTCTGAATCGTTCTTGCCCAGCAGTGTCCCATATCTGCAGTTTTATCTTCTGTCCTGCTACTTCTATAATTCTAGTCCCAAATTCGACGCCAATGGTATGTGGACAATCTGCCATGACTAAATTTACAAAGTCATTTATACAAAAATGTATATTCTTTAACATTTTTATATAAATATAAAATATAATATGTCAAGAAATAATCTTATTTTTTGGAATAAGTTAAAAAAAAATCATATTTTAAATAGAAAATAGAATTAAAAAATAGTATTAGATTGCATATAATTTAATTATAGAATCCACGAATGGTATCCTTATTTAAAGAGAAAAATTAAATATCTAATTCTCTTTAAAAATGAAGAATTTAATATTTATAGTACCTACTATAATATATAGTTTTTTCATTTAATAATTTTTCTTTAAAATAGAGGGTCCTTTTTTATCATAGATATACTAAGACAAAAGTCAGTGCACTGTTGCAATTATAAATGTTGTCTGTCATGCACAACGCTGCATGTATATACAGCATAATGCGTTACAGTCGTACAATTATGTATGCATATGATTACAGCACATCCTTTAAGAATGTCATAACAAATAATGATAAATCACCAAATTAATTCAGCAAAAACAATTTTCCTTATTTTACACACAATATATATACATTTCTTTAATTATTTCTTTATTACTTACATTTTTTTTCTGTAAACTGATGAAGCAGGCATGATTTGCCCACTCCCATATCCCCTATGATGATATACTTAAAGATATAGGAATAATTATATGGACCGGTCGACATTTTGCACCTGCAATAAAGATTTCAAGAAAATAGTACTATATTTCTTGCAGCTGTCTATTATTATTATTATAAATTATTCTGCAAGAGATAAAATTAAAGCTCATAATCTACCATGAAAGTTCTTTAAATAATGTTTTCTTGTAAACTTATTGTTGAGAGATATCTAAGATGGATTCTGCTAATCTCACACTTCATAAAATATCCCACGATCTTTTGTTTTCATTTAGCATGAGATAAGACATGATATGACTCATAAGAGTATACTAACATCAGATAAGAATCTTTTAATGCATGCAAATCAATAAATTTAAGACAACTATACTTGTAATATAATTTAAAAATTAATAAAATCTTTAAATTATTATCAATCTTGATTGATAAAGAAATGTAATATTATATCCATTTATTTTTTAAAATAAATTATACAATTTTACTGAAATTATTATTTGAGTTTTAATATTATTCGAAAAAATGATTTATTAATTTATTATTACATATAAATAAATATAAGTTGCGTTTCTTTATCAATCAAAATTGACAATAATTTAAAGTTTTTAAAAATTAATTTTGGAATTATATTATTATATATATATATATATTTAATACATTTATATAAAATTCTTTAAATTAAAAAAAACAATATATATTTGATAGTGAATGACACACAGAAATGTTGTTTACGAATTGATGCATTAATAATTCATGAGTAGCCTGGTATAAAAATTATTCTCGTCAGAACTGACATTCGCAAATCAGGCGATATTGAATTACTCGGCTCTCGCGACAGATTGAATTGAATTTGACGAGGAGACCAGGAACATATGTTCGTCGAAGGCAGAGCTTCCTTAAACTCCGCGGACGCGGATCCGTCGAGGCAACAACGTCAACAATACACCCGCACCGCCCACTCCCATAATTACGTTACGCCTAATTAACGCGATCTTCGTGATCGGCGAGGATACGTAAGAAAGTCTACGAGAGACAGACGTGACACGGACCTGTCGCGTTTTTTCTTGAATATTGAATCTTGAATATTCACCGAGCCGATGATAACTGGCGTTAGGAGATAGTAGAAGTCTCGAATGTCAACAAAGCACAGAGGATTACTCACACGCTCGTGGAACGGCGCCGTGTAGTGGAAGGCTGCTTGTCGTGATCGTTGGGCCGTGACCGAAGGGTGTGAACAGGGAACGTGCGGACGACGGTCCACGGACTCGTTGCTCTACGAACACCAAGTTATTTTGTCATCGAGTCGTACAACGACCAAACGACGCGGAGAAACGCTCGCCTCGAAATATCACGCGCAATATGGCAGGCCGCGCTTGTCGCTAGCGACGATGGCGACGAGCGAAACGTCAAACCACCTGTCACTCGCTTCAAGTCCGTTCGTCCGTCCGTCCATCAATCTGCTGCAGCGCTGCGGTCAGTGCGGTCTCATCGTTCGACTCAGTCGGTCGATCGATCGATTTTCGACTCGCGCCAACTTCGCTCGCTGCGGCGCCACTTCTCGCGGCTCATGCGACGTCATAAATTCTGATTCGTCGAAAGAATGGTATGGGTACCTATCATGAAATATGTCGGAATAATTCCGATTGGAATCCATTCCGACTTTTTCCATGATAGGTACCCTGGTATCTGGTTGCATCAGAGAGAAACCTGCAGCCGGTTCTACGTTAGTTGCAAGCTGATCGCAAGTTTATTGCGACAGCCAATATGAAGCATTGGATGCATCCAGAAGCACGACCGCTCACTGAGCGCTCGGTGAACTCTCGCATCTGATTGGCATATTCCATTAGATCGAAAAATATAGACCAAACAGATACAAGAGCTCAATGAGCGCTCAATGAGCGGTCATGCTTCTGGATGCACCTATTGATTTCAAAATGCAAGCTTCAGATTGGCTGTCGCAACAAACTTGGGAGGGCTCCGATTGCACACATCGCATATTGCGCACATGTATCGCTGATTGGCCAATTTAAAAATAAAATAATCTCATTGGCAAAACAGTGAAAAATTACTAGGCACCAGTTGATATGAGTGGTGTGTACAATCAGAACTGTAGGCAAACGGGATCCTCCCAAACTGTCCCTTCTATGGATAGTCTACACGCTGCTGTCTTGAGAATTTAGTACAGAGACGAACCACATCTGCTTTCGACGATACGATTTTATCGATAGTGTTAGAAAATGTGTGTAGTCACGTAGTTCTCAAACTGAAAATGGATGTACTGGCGGTAGTGTACGGGTGATTTCGACGGCAACAGGAAGAAGGCCAGAATGGCGCCTGTCTCAGGTTTCTCTCTGAATTAACACTATTGGCAGTCTCTAGAGCAGTCTATTTATATAATAAAAGATAACGAATTAGGTCCATATTACATGCATCCGTCTTTTGTCCCACGACAAATTTTTCAAGTCTCGATTGATTATAGGACAAAGAGGTCCGAGAGCCTCTTTGTCTTGCAGCCAATCAACACGCTTGAAAAATTCGTCGCACGATAAAAAACGGACGCATATAATATTGGCCTTACTTTTTTTCGGGAAACGAACGGTAACGAGTTATTTTTATGAGGTAACATGCCTGAGATTAATCTAGATTAATAGAAATGGACATAAATGGCAAGCCAATCAGGATTCAATGCCTCTCCCTTTCGCCTCGTAATTTCATGTTACGTTTCGCGTCTAGTTGTTTCTTGTGCTTTTGAACAACGCTAATGAAGTATTGCGTACTGCGTAGTCAGCGTCAGTCAACGTAGTGTGCACTTTTGTGTTCATTCCAGTTCACTATAAATCCGAACGCGTAGAAACGATTTTCACTTAAAATAGTATATTTAGATAAAAAACAGAAAGCAGGAAATTTTAAGATAATCGATATCACGGCCGTGACAGACTTCAAATTATCATCGAAAGGGCATATAATAGTTGTTTTAACCGCTCCGGAATTCTCCGCCCTCTTTATCACTTCGCATATTGGTAAGAGTCAATACATGTCGACAGCAATTGTGAAAATTTGTACGACGCATGTGTTGAGCAAAATAAAACTTTTCTGAGTCACGTGTGATGGAATAGCATTCAGATTTATTCAGAACTTTTTTTCTTGTGAAATGCTGATTCGTAAACATTTCGTCTAACGATTTGTCTCTTTGTTCTCTTAATTGTTGATTTGAAAAGGGTATAGTATATATTTATTTGTAAAAATAAGAAGAGCTGCGTGATTAGCTTTTACTTTCATCCTATTTTTGTATTTATCAAATAACTTTTAAACACGTGGCAAACTATATAAATGTCAAAATGTACGAAATTTTCTAATTTACAAACAAATGAATAATTATTTCTATAATCAACTATATATAGCATGTAAAATTATAGATAGTCCATTTGTGTATCGATTATTGTTTCATATATTTTAACATTTTTAGTTTGCCACATGTTTAGAGATAATCGAAATTTTTTAAAATAAATTCAAGAAATCATTTAGTGATTACAAAATTACGATCAAATTAACTATAAAGGCTAGCTTTTTACGTAGCTCTTCTTTTCCAATAAGCATCAGTAAACTTATTGATCAAATGGAAGTTGAACGAACTCCATATTATAGTCATAGTACATTCTAGTACATTCTAGTATAGTATATGTTCTAGTATAGTCTATGAATTTTATTAATGTTTTAAAATGCAATACTAGTCGATTCTTCTAGAAATCTCTGGATATTTTTCATTCTTATTGATTAATCAAAGTTTTTGATATGAGTATAGTACTTATATATAACTGAGTATATATAAATAAAATATATAGTATATATAAATAATAACTGAATATATTTTTAATATATTCAGTTATTATTATTTAGATTTTTTAAATCATTTTAATTTTGTGTAATATTGATCGATAAGTATGATTGGCCTATTGATTTTGCAATAAGACTAAAGACGTTTGAATGATGTGACGATCCTTTTAAACTCTCTGGACCTTGTCTAATGTTTACAATATTCAATTCATAAGTTGCATTGATAAGTTAAAATTTTAGTAGGTGCGTTCCAAATTGTACACTAATTAGCACACAGGAATAATTCTCATGTCATAATATCAGATTAACAGTTGTGTAGAAAGGTTTAACACTATTCATCTAAATATGTGTTACATATATCCATAGGATATCATCTATTACAGATTGTTTTAGCTGACTTACAGATGCCATACATTCTAGTACGTGGCAACCTAGCATCGTACAGTCATAAATATCCCTGGAGGGTTTTAGTATCAGGGCTTAAAGGTACGAAGACTCCTCTATATTTGCCCTTACGCAAATATATATGTTACTTTTTTGTTTTTTCAAACTTTTCAATTAAATTAAGTGCCCCACGATTCGTGAATTATGTTTGAAAATTCTATCTGACGTTTCTTTTGTAATCTTTCTACATACACGTAATAAAAATAACACAAGATAGTAAAACAACGTATTCTCAGGATAAATTGACACGTCTTTGAAGATTAGAGGAGATAATGTTGTGGCTAGAAATATTGCAGGTGTAATAAAGCAACAATTTTTTAGGTACAAGTAATATTCAATTATGTTATAGCGGCTGACATAGAGCAGTTGAGTCGGTTCTCCACTATAGGATATTGCGACGACTCGACGATAGTATATTTGCAACATCCTTGCATAATATTGACTGCTTTAGAGGTACTCGGTTACAAAGTCGTCGCATCATCCAGTACTAGCATTAAGCAGGATTATAATGAGTACATGTGGACTATGAGAAAAGAATTCTCAGAACCTGAACCCGATACTGTTGTAAAAAAAGCTGGTATGGCTCGAAATATACTGCTGCTTCAAGAGCACTTAACATTGCATAGTGATATTCATTAGGCACAACCATTCTAATGCTTCTAAGATAAAGCTCACCTACTTCATTATCTAATCTAATTTAACAATCTTAGCTTACTCTCGCAATGTAAACAAGTTGTTACAGCATGTGCATACATTAATATTAATTCAGGGACAGCATGTTGCACTGAAATTAGCAGCATGCACGCATTGAATCATTATTGGTACTTTCGGGATGGATAATTACCATTAATTCCTCTGTGGAAAGTAAACACAGTGAAGAAATTTAATAAAAAAAATTAATTAAATACATTTCTACATAGATTACTATGTGAGAAATCAGAAAACATTCATTGATATAAGTATGTTGATACAGAAGATAATGATACATATTTGGCGAGTTTAGTAAAAATGACATGATATTGATATTCGTACGTATTTTTGTCTTTGTTAAGAATGAAATGAAGATAGAAAAAGAAATATGACAATACTATCTTAAAGTTTCATTGAACTCTACAAGTTTATGATATAAAATACGTATCAATGTTATCTTGTGTACATATTAAGTTATTATGGTGTTCAAATAGCGTACAAATATATTACAGATATATATGCATATATACAGAGTGTCCTTTAATAACCGGAACAGCGCTTAAGGGTAAATTCCTTCTTACGGGCCACCCTGTGTATGTATATGTATTGTATATATATATATATATATATATATGTAGGGAGATCTTTATCTTTACGTATATGTATTGCTCAGAGATGTTTGGATTAGGCTCATATTTAATTATATACAATAAATCTCGCAGATATGTTGACTTTCAGAGTGCGTATGACCACCCACACATTTGTAAAAGTGATAAAAGTATTGTGAGAGTAAACTGAAAGAAGTCCCATTTGATATATTCAGCAGAGGTTGTCCAGTATATTATTTCCTTTGTGTCTAAAATCTCATAGTTATTTAAGATCTCATGGGAACCTTTTTTTTGTTAATAAACAACTAAATTCGATAAATTCATATGATCCAACCATATGTATATAAATAAGTGAAATGGGTGTATGAAATTGTACAGTGCATTTTAAAAAAGAGCACGAGAAACAGTTAATTGGATAGAACAAAAAATGGTGCCTTACATAATATAATTAAGAAAAAATTATAATTTCTTCTACTATTTAAAATAATTCAATAATATTTTCTAAAAAAGTTTACGTACAACGGTTTTTTATTTTTTTTCTAGTCTTTAATTCTCTAATCCTGGTAAACGTAATATTTGTTCTTGGGCTATTCTTGCACTATGTTTTGTATTTGCTATTTGATCATGCACATCTTCTACTTTCCGTTCGCTTTCTTACCCTAAATTGGTTGCGAGCACATTTCCATTTTTATGTACATACGAAAGAAACCCGAATATGTAGGTGGAATACGAAAGAGGAATGAAGAAAAAGGAAAGAATATAGAATCTTGTATGATTATGTATTCTTGGAAAAAAAAATTATATTGATGAAGAACGGAAATACTTTCTGGGGTAGAATGATTTGTATTTTATTTTTGACATTATATAATATTTATTAAATGCTACATATGTATTAACGATAAATGATTATCGTTCTCTCTAAGAGCTCTATTACATTTTGCACATGTACTTATGTAGCAACTTGTTTTTTGCATCATAGCAATTAATACCAAAATATATATTATAGCTGAAGCATTTCATATATGTTCCGATGCACATAAAATTCCGAATTAATTTTTAAATGTGGAATTTTTTCCATCATGTAATGTGTGATAAAAGTTCAGTGAATTTCTATTTTTAATGTATAAAACGAAAATTATATGGTGTGACGAAAAACATTTTGTTATATTTAATAGAAATAAATAATTATAATATTTTTAATAACTTCAAAATAATACTTCAAAATATATACTTGAAGATAGTATTTTATGATATTTATATACGACACGGTTATTATATATATTAACTGCATACATTTATACCAAATATATTTTTATTTTAGAATTTTCAGATTATTTGCTAACAATACATATGGTATCGTCTGATATTACAAAAAACTTTAGCAATATTTTTTTACTCAGAATTTTATGCATTATTGGAAAATAGGTGAATTTGCATAGAAAATTCATCTTAGCATTATCATTTGCGTATTATACATGTGTACATTTATAATGTTATTCTCTCAATAGAAAATATTTATTTAGAAATTATCTGCAATATTTTAAGCAATATACTCATAGAGATATACTTAACGTCGATAGGAAAAAGTCGATAGGAAGTCGATAGGAAAAAATTGTAACTATGACTTGTTATCAAAGTCTTTATTTTCTTCAAAGTCTGATCAAATTTTGAGTAACTATTATGTATTATCTCTCATTATCTTCCAATACTTCCAATCCTATAACTATTTGTTTTCTATTGAAGATATGATATAACGCGTTATCTGTTAGCTTCACTAATGTTCCATTCGACCGGAATGTGCCATTTATCGTGAAAGTGAATGAATCACATTTTAATATATTCTTAGGATAGAGATATTTTGTTTCTACAAGATAATTGTAAGATGTCAGAAAAGCAATTTAAAACTTTATTAGGAAATACTTTAAATTTTTGACCTATAATGAACTTTATTTCTTTATTGATGAAAATTAATTCTGAAGCTATGTACATACATATTTTTAAAGTAACTTGAAAACCAGTCGCATTTTTATATTAGCTTCAACAGGAACTCAGAGAAAAGCTCTCGTTATTCTTGTTGATTATTGCCGTAACTGTTCGAAGGGAGAAAATATCACAAAAATTTTAATAAAAGCACCTCGCGATCGCAGATGTTTTCTGAATTTTCTATTAAATATCGGATAAAGAAACTCGAAGGGGTGATTCTTGCATCACTTTCGAGATAAACGGCTCCGATCGTCACTCACGTGCGTCACGTTTGCTTTTCTTCTAGAAGTAAAGCCCAACGAGGTATAACGATACTTTTAGCGCGACAATGGCAACGACAACCAATTCCAAAAAGCAAGACACCACCGCCATCGACGAGGACGACGACATTTTCTATTACGTCGGTGTAAAAGCGTCACCGTTCGCGGCCGATAGCGCGGTTTTCGGTTTGCCACCGAAGGAGGTATCGGCCTTACGCTGCCGCTTCCCGCTGTCCCCTTGTAGCACGAATGTTGTGAACGGAATTATGCTTAAAGGTTAATAACCCAGAATTTTGACGAGATTAAGAATTGCACGGACCATTTTCTAAGGACCTGAAAAGATTCAAGATTTCTCGATTATGATGCAATTTTTATTTGCGCGCAAACGTTAACTCTGCAAATACATGCGTACGTGCATGTCAGAGATAGCAGTACTTACTCACTTATGAAATCTCTGTTAATTATATAGTATTACCTAGCAAAAGTAGCAAATGCAAGAAATTTAAATGATTTGTACAATTATCCAAGGTTTTTTAAAATTATGATCTTGTAAGAATACATGAAGCAAACGCATCGTATATATAATTGTATAAAATTGTTAAGGAATGCCCTTAATTTCATATTTTCATTATACGATACAATCAATAATGATAAAAATAATTTATAAAAAAAGAAATGTCAATTATGAAAAATTGTCTAACAAAAAATTTAAGTAAAATGACTGAAATTGCAAATGATTTAATATTAGTTGGCTATCAGGTTACAGTTGATACAACTAACAGTGTCAGCAGAAAAAGCAGCTTTGCTAGTACTTTAAGATTTTTTAATACGATTGGGTCTTTAGTTTTTCTCATTGGGTATAAATATATAAATCAATCGGGTTAAAGAATCTTATAACAATTGCAAAGTTTTTTCTGCTGATCGTAGCCATTATTTTGTGCTGGTTAATTAAAAATAATAAATCAAAACAGATTATATGTCACGATTTTTCATACGTTTCATTTTATTTTCATTTTCTCGGTTCAAGAAAGCATGCAGTTGAAGAGTTAATGTTTTCATGTAAATTAACAGTATTAACAATAATATGCAATGTAACTTGTTAATAAAAGATATGATACTTGTGATTGACGTTTAAATAGATTTATGATATTTGTATTAATGAGATTCTTGGATCTTTTGTGGGGCAGATTCTTTGTCATAGCCACAAGTATTAATATTATCATTTTGTTGATTGTGAAAATGATTTAATAGTTTTTAAAAGTTTAATTAATTTAATAGAGATATATGAAATTTTATTATTAAGATAAATATATTACGATTTATAAAAGTTTCGAATAAAACTAGTCGTGATCTAATAATATTAGCTTCTTCATAGGATATCCTTTAGGAACTTACGTTGCAAAATTGATTTCAGGCACACCATTCTCCGTCATAAATGCTCTAGCTGAGCTCGGCTATCGAGTTGTTTGTAGTACTGGAGAAGCCGAGGTACTTTGGACACTGCAGCGGGATTGTTAACGCTTTAAAAATGGGCCTTACTGCAAGCGCATTATATGTCTAAACATATATTCTCTTGTGACTTCTATATATACAATATGTATGTGTCTTTATAAATCAAACTGTAGAAATTAGTATTAATGAATCGATGAGATTTGTAACTTCACTTTGTTCTTTTTTTTGCATCTACTTTTATATCTTGGAATGATGAATGTTGCGGAAATTAACATTTGTAACTGCGCCTCGGGGGAAATTGAGTTAGCTGTATATGTGTGCGGATCAATTAAAAAGGCTTTGTTTTAAAAATGATCAATTGTACGTTGCAAAATTGGATATCGGTATGTATCGGAAGTACTGAAATGCAGCTTTCCGTTAGAATAATAAAAAAATAAATACGTTCCATCTTTCCCTTAGGAATCTTACACTTTAATTCTTGTGCGAAATCACACGAATGAATTCTCACGTTATCGGACGTGATATATTGTGTACCGCGGCAGTGATGAGTTCCTTTTTTTACGACTTCGAAAATGACGCGGTAAAATTGTATAATCATGATAAGACTGTTTAGAGGGGAGGGAAATATGATCCCGGAGATTGTGAACCACGTAAACACTTCTGCAACGTGCAAAATAATCACGTTGCGGATAATAATAACTTACAAGCGATTGCGGAAATTTCGTCAGACCAAAGGAGCATGTGTTGATTGCGTCATATCCACTATATGTAATACTGAAGTATTAATTATATACATTGATTTGTGATATCTTTACCTCGTTGCGTGGAAAATGGGTTTTTTAATGTTTTATCGAGGATTTATGACGTGAGTCTCGTAGGATCCAGATTGGGCCAAATTGGCGCAACGTTTAGATTGCACCAAATTGGCCCATATTGGTTTTCAACTGTTTTAGTGTTTATAATTGTGAAGAGTGAAATTTTATTATAGTGCAAATACCATTTACATATATTATATCTTTATATAGCATACTATTATTTAAACAACATCTGTAATCTTTTCCCACCATTTGCTTTATTATATAATTTGTCGTATAATTATTGTTATACGCGAGATATTGTTTCTCCGGATCGATCGTGGTCCAGAGAGTTTAAGAGTGTAAAACCATTTATAGAAAAAAAAGTTGATGATATTTTGTTACTCTTATTGCAAATATAAATGTCGATCTAAAGATTTTATTGCAGATTATAAATGCCAATCTAAGGGATTATTGCAATCGATGTTTCCTGTTCTTATTAAGAATGGAATCTATATCGAATGAAATTATTAAAAGCAATCGTTAACTCGTAGTGTGACAATTATATATTAGTTTATTCATAAGTAAGAAAATCAAAAGTTATCAAAGGTGGAGGGAACGAGAGTATATTTATAGTTTAACAGTCTGAATAGTTGGTACAAGCAGCGTTTGCGCTAATTCGACGTGAATTTTATATTTATGTATAGCTAGTAATTTCTTTCATATATGAAGCTGTATTTTATATGTACGGCAGTTATACATAGACTTATACTCAACGTATAATTGAACGTTGCTTATGTGTGTTGCAAATTATGAGAAATAAATAAACATAGAAGTCTATATATCGTACAATTTATACATTCCGAAAAATCTTTATCTCTGAACTTGAAGCGATCTTTTCCTCTTCAGATGTATATATTTCAGTTAATCAAACTTAATATAGGATTTTTTAACAGTCATTTGCAGATACAATAAACAATGGAGCATTCTTATGACCACAAAATGTGTTGCGAAGGGGCTGCACGGTACAATGTCTGTCAGAATATAGACGAACTTTATTTCGAACGCGGGCTTTGGACGGCAGGTAAATGAAAGTGATACCGTTGCTGATACAGATATTTATTTGGAATAAGGTAGACTGTAAACGATGAAGCATTTCAGAACATATTACAAATGAACAAGATCGCAAGTGAATTGGATGATCATACGTTCAGATTTGACTGTGCGCTTCAGTCTTATAACCAATTCAGAATTCAATTGACTTTATTTTCATTATTTTGTATGTTTAATATAGGTGATTGCATAATATGCAAAATAGAAATCATATAATACAAAATAAAGATTAATTTCTGAACGAATTATAAAATCTATTAAAAACATGTATAATTCGAAGCTAATATAAGTTTTATATAACATTTATATACTCGGTATCTATAGATTTTTAAAATGCTGAACAAAAATTATCTATTACAGTAACACAAAATTTATAAACAACGAATATTAGAACTTTATTATTGCTTTTACATTGTAAAAGTAATTATTTTATATTACAATAAATATTAAAATTATTATTCTTTATACAGTTTTTATAACAATTTATTATTATAATGATTATATTATTAGTACTTTGTGTCATTTTTGTATTGCTTGTAATAATCTTTTTTTACGATTTTTGAGAATATAATTCATCAGGAATGTTGCAGTCTGACAATGAGAGGATCAGTTGTACACGAGTTAGATTTCACATTATCAGGAGTTTGGCTTCTTTTTCTGCGTTTTTGCATTGGTTTTTCGTGCGTTTTTTTCAGCGCTGGATGGTAACGAGGATCGTGTCCTTAAGCTACTGCAAAAGGGCGTCTTCGTCGATACGCCGGACACGACAGCTGGCTACACAGCATTGCATTACGCAACGCGGAGTGGGCATTACCACGTGTGCAAGATTTTGCTGCAGCACGGTGCGAATGTGAACGCGTGCACCCGTAGCCTGAGAGCGACGCCTTTGCATCGCGCGGCCAGCATGGGCCATATTAAAATTCTCAAGCTGTTGCTTACCTACAAAGCAGATCCCAATCTGACAGATGTAGACGGTAGGACAGCTCTGCATCGGGCTATTCCAACGATAGCCGGTTCCGTTGAAGGCGTCGAGATCCTTCAGTCATTGTTGCGGATCACCGATCGCACTGTCAAAGACAAAACCGGGCAAACTGTCGACGACGTGTTTGAAAGTTGGAAAATGACGCAGAGCGAAGATGAAAAAATAAAAATAATGGAGAGATTGTTTTATCATAATCAGGAATAATAAGGTGAGAAATTTGGTGAAAAATGTGTGGAAGTGCAAGTATGCATTTCCTTTTTACGAAGAAATATCGTAAAGCCTCAAAGTCTGATTTGTAGAAAATATTAGTTGAGGCGGAAAACGATTTAACAGAGGAGTGCAATAATTTCTTATAATTATAATAATTTTTAACTTTTTTCGTTGTATCAAAAACTATTTAAAATAAAAAATTTTATACAAAAGTTTTATAATAGAGTCACCTTTATTTATCCATATAAGTTTTTTTAAATATTGAAAATATAATTTTTGAAATTATTTTTTTTTTAATATTGACGTGGATAAATAAAAATATTTTCATTATATATGTAAAAATTTTGTACACAACATTTTTTAATATCTTGAATAGTTTTTGAGATATAACGAGAAAAGCTATAAACCTATTTCACCTCTTAATCATTTTTTCAAACTAATATTTTCTAAATTCATCTATGTTTATGAAACTTATACGTATGCTAGATTTCATTAAAATCAGAATTAAGTATTTTGCGTCCTTTGCGAGGTTGGCTTGTTAAATGAAAGCCACCTCATCTAAAAGTAACATAACATCGATATTACGACTTTACATTCAACAATATCATTGTTATGTAACAGCATGTATTAAATTACATTAATATTATTGAGTGCGAAATTATAATGTTAATGTTATATATATGTTACTTTAGTTGGTATATCGAACTGGAGAGAGATAAAAATATTATAAAAGTATGTATACTTGTATCAAGACTTGTTTTCATACACTTGTAAACAAAAATGAATCTCTATAATATATGTCGGATAGATAATAATATCTTCTGTGTAAAGACTTCTCGATGCTCAAGAAGTAGGATGAAAAACTATATGACTATTTGAAGGAACTTCCGAATTTTAATGTAATAAGAATTATATTAATAGCGTAATAAAATATAATATTAATAAAATATTTTCAAAAAGAAAAAATGTTACTCTTCATGTAATAGTGAACAGTTAATTTAAAGATCATTAGATTCTCATTAGTTACCTTCTTCTCACATTTCAACAAACCTGATAATTTACCGAATTACAGACAACAAAATTAGGATATAACAGGTTTGTTCTTTTTAATTGAACTTCTCGCACGGTTTATCTTTTTTCTTTTTTCCTCTAATATGGGGAGAAAAAGAAGAAAAATGAATCATACAAGTTGAGTTAAAAAGGATGTCTTTTGTGAGACATTTTTCTTTAGTTGAAATCTACGGGATGTCCCATGAAGGAGGGAATAAGAAAAATAAAATGATGATGAAATATTTGTATCGTTTAATTAAATGTTTACAAAAGTATCAAATATCGCCAAATATTGCTGATCTTTATTTAAAAAATTAACATTTTTTAAACAAAAAATTAAATAGTATTTTAAATTTTTGAAATATATATCGTTAAGAATTTAGCATTTCGAAAGTATATATCAAAAATTGATAAGATTGATGATATTTAATATTTTTATAAACATTTAATTAAATACAAATATTTTTAATCATTTTCACTTTATACATAAATAAAGCTGTTAAATATTTTTTTAAATTAAAAATTACTTAATTTTCCTTATTTCCTATGCGTTTAAAAATGACAGCTGATTAGTTTCAATTTCCAGAGGGCACTCTTATAATACTAGCCAATTTATTACCGAAAGACAGTAATTACTTATTTGGAGTAAAAGCGCTATATATTTTAACTTTTAATACTTAAGCTAACTAATTAATTACTGCCTTTCAATATTAAATTGATCAGATCAGTATCAGATTTCTACGAGAGTTTCAGACGGTTCCTGCAAAAATATCTAAAACATTTTACAGATATTTTAAGTCTTGTGTTTCGATTTTAGACTTTCGTTGCCCGAATAAATATTCACGGATGACAACGCGAAGCGATGCGATGCGACGCGACGTTCTCGTGAAAGAGTGCGATATATACACGCGACGCGACGACGCGACCGCGGCGTCCGTCCGTCCGTCCGTTCGTTCGTTCGTCTGCGCGCGCGACGGAGGTAGATGGAGGGACCAGGAGGGACGGAGTCGGACGGACATGCGGCATGCGGCCGCATAGGGTCGTGCACTTGATATTGAAGCGGCTTCGTGGCGCTTCGGCGACGCTCGGCCGTCTCCGGGTGTTCTCGATGCACGTTACGCGGTGGGCCGGTGGGCCGCCGGAGCCCCCGGAGCCCCGGAGCCGGAGGAGCGGAGTCTCGCGATAAAACAGCGGTGCCACCTAGCGGCGCTACCACTCTCTCCCCTCTCCCACTCGGAATCGTCGTTCGTGGCGCGGCCGCGCCAGTCGTTGCACGACGGGGAGTCGTCAGTCGTTTCACGAGTGGTACCAACCGCGGGTTCGTTCGCGCGTGCCGTCAAAGCAAAAGCGTGGCGTCGCTCGCGCCCGTTTTTCGTCGTCGACGTTTCCAACCACCAACGTTTACGCGTGAGACCCGTGTGGAAAAATAAGTGCGGCGTACTCACGGCACGGGACAGTCGTCGCGTCCGGCGTCAGTGACAAAATATCGGGCCGCTCCGCGTTCTCTTTCTTTCTTTCTCTCTCCTGCTCTCGCTCTCGCGCGCGGCGCCGCTCTCATCGTCGTTGCCGTCGCTCAGTCGCTGGATCGCTGGATCGTCTCCACCGCGGCTTTTACGTCCACGCCCGTTTCGCTCCGTTTCGTTTTGAGCGAGAGCTCCGCTTTTTCTCCGTCGTCGCGATCTCGCGGCGCGAGTGACAATCGGCCGGAGACCGTGCGGCGATGTAACGTCGTCGCGCTGCTCTGTGACGTCACGCACGTCGGGTCGCGCTAATCGAGAAGTATACACACAGAGAGAGAGAGAGAGACACGCGCGCGCCCAACTCACACAAACGCGCACCCTGAGCGGACAGCGCGCGCGCGCGCGCTCTCCGTCCGTCGTCGTCGTGGTGTCATCGTCGTCACCGTAGCACGCTACGTTTCTATCTCCTGCGCCCCTGTCCACATAACACACACTCGTACGCGCGCTTCGTTATACGCAATAACGCGGAGACGAGAAAGAGAGAGGAAGAGAGAACGCGCGGTGTGTGCTGTGCGTGCAAACGGTGAGAGATAGAGCGAGACGGAGGAAGGACAGAGAGACCGTGCCTGGTAAGATCGCGAGAAACGGTCGCGGGGAGAAGTGTGAGCGAGAGCGCGATAGATAATAAATAAGGACGGAAC